CCCAGAGCTAGCTGTCTGTCTGCATCCCCTCCAGCTGTATGTCCGTCTGGGATGCTGTCATGGAGCCATGTTTCTGTTAAAGCAAACACAAAGCAGTCCCTCCACTCTCTGAGGGTTTCTCTCAGCAAACGTCCAGCTTGTTGTGGAGGGAGTGGACATTGGAGAGTAGGAGGACGGTCCTGCTGGTCTTCCCCTCTTTTGTTTACCGTTTGCACTTCCTTCTCTCTTGGGTAACTGTCATCTCTGATCGGACTCCGTGTTGGTGTAGTGTGTCCAAATCACAACCGATCGCCTCAATCCCAGCGCCGTTCACTGTCCTGATGCACAGCAAAGTCTCCCGGTTGCAAGTTTTGCGGAATGAACGTCTGGGATAGACAAGACACTCAAAACATTCACTTTTATTGTCTCCTGAAGGGGGCGCTGCGTCTAATTAGGGCACATCAAAGAGAATCGCATCATTGCACAGCATGTCATAACTGAACTGCTCGGCTACTTAATCAGGGTAAATTAATCCTGATGTAGATCGTGTTTGTCCAGTACATATATAGGCTAGTTTTCAAACTCGCCGCCATCTTGAAGCCGGCTTATTGGAATATCCTGGATTAAGTCATAATTCAATGCTAATAAACGGGCAGCACCGTATTAAGCATTAAGTAAATTCACTGAAGCACTATCAAGGACAAATTTGAAGTACTTGTACCACATGTTAGGCTTTTTTCACCAACAAATGATAAATATATTATTATAGATCAAATGCCTATCCGCCTCCTACCAGCCACAACATTAAAGTGATATCCATTAATGCAGCCGTATTTATAATAAACTAAGAATCTGAAATGGGCCATTGTCCATAATGACTGCTTTTATTATTGGTACTTAAAAGTGTTTTGTACTTTTAAAATCTTAAATACATGAGTTCTCCTTCTGGCAAAGTATTTCTAGAAATCAAACTATATCTAAATCTAATTTATATGTGGTGGATGAAGTACTTAAACCTCCAGCAAGGGAGCAATCCCCCCAAAAGAAAGCTTTCTTTTTTTTTCCTCTTCATTTAACTACACATCCTTTCAAATATCCAACCAATTTATCCCAAACTGGACTGTATAAAAGCCATGCTCCTTGGAGGGAGGAGGCGGTGGTTTTTCCCTAATTTGAATTTGCAGGAGCATCTGAGCATTCTGGACAAAGAAGTACTTGGGTTCACCGGGGCAGAATACATCAATTGAACTTGCGATTGAACCGATTCAGTAATCTGGGTTATTCATGAGGTCAGTCTGTTAATCAATACTACACTGTAATTAAAATTCACTTTCTTTGTTACAGCACGCAAAAGCTGCATGATGATGTTGAGGCGAAAATCATTATGTGGCACACTTTGGAAGGAGAAAGATCACAGGAATTAGAAAAAAGAGCTCCAGCAGAAAGATCAATCTGATTCCGATATATTGAAGAGTTTACGCATATTGTAGCTGTAGGGGACAAAAGTATAGAGGTTCAGGCTTTCTGTACGTTTAGATGTTTTATTGCTTTATACTATCGAATGAATGTGGTTTTATTGACCATGGCTAAGAGTCTGGACAGGTCACCAGTCTATCACAGGGCTACACTTAGAGACAGACAACCAAGCACACTCACATTCACCCCTACGGACAATTTAGAATCACCAGTTAACCTCAACATGTTTTTGGACCTTATGGGAGGAAGCTGGAGAACCTGGAGAGAACCCACGCTGCACGGGGAGAACATGCAACCTCTACGCAGAAAGATCCCGGGTGTCCTCACCGGAACGCGAACCGGCAACGATGCTAACCACTGCTCCACCTTGCAGCCCCAATGTGAAAACAGATCTGTACAGAAGTGATTTTTTTCAAATACAAGATAATGCATGTGGACCTCTAAGCCCCTCCCCTTCCCGTTGTGTTAGTGGGTATGCATACACAGTGGCATCGACTGCTCTGGTTATTTAACTGGTCAATCAGCCTTTTACATCATTTCTCTTCATCCTCTCTAAAGCTTCCAGGCATGTCTGCGGATCCATGTCAACAGAGTCCACGCAGACCCCAATCTTTCATAGACATACAGCCACTTCACACTTCTTTATCCCCGCGACCCACGCGCCAACGCTCCATCACTCGTCCTTCACCAAGAGTACAAGTAGCCATTGATCCCCTCTGACTCAATAACAATCCAACCGCTTACTTTTCACCTTGTATATATAATCTTACTATTTTCTTTCTTTCCTTTTGCGCTATTTGACACTATTTGATTCATTTATTTTTGCAATTTCTCTCTCTCTCTCTTTCTATACATACATATACATTGTGTGTGTTTTATTCTTTGTTCTTGTTCATCTTATTATCATTGATTCAGTGTGAAACAGGAGCACAATGCATTTCACTGCGTGTTACACCATGTGTAACTGTATTTGTGACCAATAAAAGACCTTGAAACTTAAATTCAGGCAACATCTCACCAATAAGACTACCCACAGCACGGCGCTTTTTACGAGGCCCGGCACCCACACAGGCAGCATACAGAGTGGATCCTGCAGACATTAGAGAAATCCACACTTCCACTGGTTGTCATGCTCACAATGAGAAGCAGGATGAAGAAGAACCATGTAAAAGGCTGATTGTCCTGTGAAATATCAAGAAGAGTAAATGCCTGACTTACACACACATACACACAGGGTGTAGCACAACAGGGAGGGGCTGAGATAAAACACACGTGCATGTACATGCCCACCTTTTTATTACCCCTCATATGACACTGTATTCAGTTCACGACAATGGCTGCTATAAATTCTCCTGCTTCCAGAGAGAAAGGGTTTTGACCTTGCGCTCCTTGCACTCTCGCTTTCATGAAAAGCAAGTGAATGCCGGCGACAAGGCTTCACCCTTTGTGGTACGTGTGAGAATTTACTTTACACAAGCAGTACGAGACAATCCAACAGTTGACGGCTTTAAAAGTGAACGCTGGTTGAGAATCCAAACCTTTTCATCTTTTCCAGCAGCCTCTCTCTCTCTCCCCCCTCCTTCCCCGACTTTCGTCCACATACCATCCATCTAATCCCCTTGACTGAAGAGCAGAAGACCCAGTGGCTCCGGGGTGCAAAACAGGAGGAGAAGTAAATTAGCGAGAGGACAAGAGATCAGAGGAGGAATGAAAAGGACGAGAGTGGCTCTCGAGCTGCGAACGCAGGTGAAGGCATAGAAACCAGAGCAGCTAAATGCAAAGACGGTTAGATGAACAAAAAAAAAGAAGAGCAACGTTTTTAATTAAAAACCTTTTATTATTTAGACAAAATAATTAAGTCCGATAAGAAAAAAAGTTCAGGATAGAGAACTTAACAAGCTGCTTTGGACAAGTGAGCACCTACAGCAGACCATAAGCCCCAATTTCAGAAATCTCAGAAATGATGACCGCTGTTTTACATCTCCATATCCTTCGAGCCAGTTCAATATTCCTTCCACAAACATGAATAAAACCATATTAGAAACTCATATTTATCAGTTTTTAACAACACAGAAAAATCGTCACTTTACCACAAGCAGCATGTAACAAAATAAAATAAAAAATAAAAACCCAAACACAATCCCTCAGTGTTCATTTTCATTTCCAGAATGTAGTTCAATTTTCATTTGCAATTCAGGGCTGTAGCCTTCAGCAACCGCCACCTTCATCTGATTTTCGGCTGATCTCTTAATAGTCTACTTGCTTACACAGAGTCAGAGTCTTATCAGTGCCGCTGGCAGTCGGGACAGAGTGATAACTCATTTCCAGACAGAACCTGAGGTAGCCGAGGTGAGCAGCAGCAAACTGGAGCTAAGAAACACAAACAAATCCTCCATCAGACAAAGTGTGCTTCGTTCAAAACCCCCCCAAGTGGCTGAGCAGCACGAAGATGATGATGATGATGGTGGTGTTGTTTTCTGGCCAAAGACTAACAACCCTCCAGAGCAAAAAAAGCTTAAAACAAATCAATACCTAATCCTAACATTAACCTCAAGAGACACTATTAAAGAGACATTTTTCCCCAGTTGGACCAAAATCTAAAAGCACTGAACATATTTTTTATGAAGTATAAAGTCAATGTAAAGGCATTAATGAACAAGAATTGGTTTATTGCTTCAACTAACTGAAGTGAAAAAGAGAGAAAGAAAAACGGTGTCTATGGCTTTCCCCGTTGCGTCTCCATCAGAAGTGTGACTGCGGGTTTTTTGCACTCCGTTGTTCAGGGGACGACGGAGTACGGCTGGTAGGGCAGCATCTTCTGTCGCTCATTGATCGCGTAAATCCACGTGGGTTTGACAAAGTTCAGATTGCTGTTCTCCATCAGCGCCTGCGATGAGAGCGAGGGTGAAAGTGAGTCACGAAGTCTTGCACGACAGGAAGCCTTAAAGAGGGCTCCAGGTTGCCAGAACTGCTGATTCGGCGGCTGAGAACCGACTGTGACCCACGAGTTCTAACAAATTCAGAGGGCGCTCGTCTCGAAGAGCTCTTATTGGCAAGGTTTAAATACTTTGGTTCCCAATTTGATTCACTGCATTGATTTGATTACACCTTGCAGAATGAGTTGAGAAAGTGCTTAAATGAAAACGCTTAAGCTGATAGCGTCTCAGGAGCGGCACGTTCAAGGGGCGCTTTTCCCTCTGTGGCTTTTTGAAAAGAGTTTTTTTTTTTAGCTGTGCACTTTGTATAATTGAGCAACACTTAAAGTTTTGTGAAGCAGTTTTCTTCACAAAATTGTCTTTTTTTTGTGGGAGTGAAAGATAAAAACATGAGACAAACAAATGTTCGGTGCTGCTAATTAGCTGTGGCGGTCAAAGGAACTAAATACCAAAGGAAGAGAGGAAAAAAAAAAAAAAAAGAGGACTCACATCTTCAAAGGAGTCGTGCCACCCTTCACTCGTCACCACAAACTGCACCTTCTCCGTCATGTAGTCCTCAATGGCTCTGAAGCGAGGAGAATTGTGAATAATTAGAACTGCACAGGCTACGTCTTGCATCATTGTGAATGACCGTAAAGGTTGTGGCGGGTTGCTTCTAGAGCAGATAAAGGTCGTCTCACCCATTAAACGCGACGATGTACCGCAGCAGCAGTCGCCTCTCGTTGTTGGGGAATTTACCGTAGAGGAAGAATCGCTTTCCGCTGAGGAAGTCTGGAAGAAATAAACAAAATAGGAAGAGAGAGATGGAGTAGTTACACCAGGTGTACAGAACAGAATACACACTGATGCTGCTGTTTGTGTGTGGTCCAGGGCCGGCCCGAATAGCAGTTTCTGTTCTCCGGATGTTCGGCTCCAATTAATGATGAGTATCCTGAATATTTGGGAGTGAGGCACGGTGGTGGTGGTGGGTGGGGAAGTATTCGGTCCGACGAGGCAGCGGTGAACGGGCGTTTCTGCAATCAACAGTCACCGTACTGCAGGGGTGTCCAATCCTGGTCCTCGAGGGCCACAGTGCTGCATGTTACAGATGTTTCCCTCTTCCAAAACACCTGATTCACATGATCAGCTCATCATCAAGCTTTGCAGAAGCCTGATAACGATCCTGATCATTTGAATCAGGTGTGTTGGAAGAAGGAAACATCTAAAACATGCAGGACGGTGGCCCTCGAGGACCAGGATTGGACACCCCTGCCGGACTGTATCCCCCATCAGTGGCGGCAGCAGGGGGGTGGAATATTCGGAGATCAAAATTGATATCCCGATTCCTGCACAGCGAACGAACAGTCGGCTATTCGGGTCCAGCCCTAGTGTGGTCATCCAACATTTTTTTATTTAACAGGAAGACACTGAAATAAGAACAAAGACATGCCGGGTAGCTCAGGGATGGGATGATCCTCTTCAGCCTCAGCGTCTGTGTTTTCATCTGTCGATCCCCCGTATGGATCCTCGTCTTTCACCGGTGTTCTTTTTGCCGGCGCTTTCTTCTGTCTGCTCTCCTTTTCCACCCTTTCACAGGGACAAAAAAAATATATATATAATGGTAAAAGTTTCCATACATCGTTTCAAAAGAAGAAAACTCTCAAGTTTTTAAAAAACCTTTTCAGGGCTGTTGTCTTTAAGGCGGTCACGGCCACATAAACTACATTTTATTGCAATATTAGAGCGAACCTACGCAACTAATCAGCTAAATACCATGACACGAATAAAACAGTAGCTTTGTAGTTATTTCCTTTTGTGAGACTTTAAAAAGAGAGATTTTAGGTGTTTCCGATAGTGCTAAACATTTTATCTAATCAAGAAAAACATATTTGACTGGAAGAGAAATAAACACGTCTCGACAATGACTGTTCTACGTTCCTTGTAGTAACGGTAACAGTTCACTCATATAAACATATATTAAGAAGAACCTGGAGAGAACCCACGCTGCACGGGGAGAACATGGAGACTCCACGCAGACAGATACCGGGTGTCCTCACTGGGACGCGAACCGGCAACCTTCTAGCTGCGAGGCAACGATGCTAACCACTGCTCCATCTTGCAGCCCCATGTTTTACACGTTCATTCCAAATTTTTTGAACTTTTGAAAACTAAATATTCGAAGCAGTTCAACTTTCGTTTTTCCTTTTATGACAATTTCTGGCATAACAACATTGTCAAACTGAACAATAGACATTTTTGAGCTGTTTCTTCTTCTTGCAAGGATTGTACTGCTTCCACAGAAGTGCAACACTTCTGCTGTAGTGACAACTAAGCCCACGGTGACTAAAAATGTGGACGGGAAGTGCTTCGGGTTCAGAGGCTTAACAGAACTCAGAAGCCGACTTACTGCACCTCCATAAATCTGGGTGTATTTAAATTTTGTGCCGGTCCACCTAAATGACAAAGTGAGGCGCACCAGTGCGACCAACGTAAAATTAGTCTGGAGCCCTGAGCCAAGTGTTGTGTAACCGCTCAGTGAAAGTTAACTCAGGTGATTTACGAGCCAAATAATGACTCGACATGGGAGAGCAAAGATGTCCACGTCAACACTACAAACACTGGATGTTCTCTTTACCTCTGCAGCTCGTCCTCTGTGTCCACTGCAGATTCATCATCATCTCCTCCTGTGAAATAAATGAGGTGTACATTTGTCAGTCTGGTTGCATTTGTATTTAAAACAAAAGCATGTTTAATTTGCTTTTATGCTGGAAAAGGATCTGCAGAAAACGATGTTAAAAGTTTTACATTTTTCCACATGAATTTACTGACAACACAAATTACGTGCTCTGGCATCATTTTCAAACTAATTAACTATAATAATCGAACGTCTGAGCGCTAAACCTGCTTTAAATCTTCACTCCTCTGGGGAAAGAAGTTTAATCTTGCCATCATGTTTTCTACAAGATGCAATAACTCCTAATTCTCATTAAAACGAGGAAAAATGCCTCGTAAATCCACTTTTTTTCTCCTGAAGCATGCATCAGCAGTTCAATAGATATAACCTCGTTGGCAACACCTGCCGTGACCACACAATTCTCTTATTGAGGGGGGAAAAGAGAAGAAGCTCTAATTAAAATGCCGTCTCCACGTATGTGTTTGGTGGGTCAGCGCTCGTCGTCTCTCCTCACCGACGCGCCCCGGCTCTTTACTTCTGGCCTCGCATTAACATAGAAATGAGAATCATGCACAAGTCCCTTCGCGGCGATTACGTCGTGCCTCTATTCTTGCTTCTCCCTCAAAATGCATCTACAGTACGTATGTTGTTCTTGTTCCTTTTTTTTTTTTTTTTTTTACGGTGCCATTGTCAACTCATCCATTTCCAAGTGCTTCATAAAGGTTATCCCTTTTGTCTCATCCCTGGGCTCTCACATCGTCCCCCGGCCCCTCTCAATTCATTCAGTCCTCTTCAACTCCGGTGCAAACCTCTCTCCGTCTCTAGTTATCTGAGCTAAGAGAATGATTCACTGCCCATGAGTCACAGCCACTTAATCCCAGCTCTTGGACCTTCGCAATACAGATTTAAGTCCTTTTCAGACATGGGTCATGGAAGATTGCTGGGTTCATCAATGTGTTAAAGTGACGCCATTCTGTCTCTCGAGTTCATTTCAGACATAGTTCATCTATCTGTCGTGTATGATCCTCACTACTGCAGTCACAAATACAACCCACGGTGCCGGAGAGCGCCACGCGATATTTGTCATTCACAAAAAAGTAGACACCGAGAGAGGCCAAGGATGGGATTTGTCTGCTTGTATGACACGCTGTCGCTTCCTAAATAACGCACAAAGATCGGGTGCGTTTCTCTCCTTTTTATTGAATCTGATTTATGATTCGCAGGCATTTCACAGCATAGACATGTATAATAAAGGCTAGATGTCTAAAGGCGGCGTTTCGAACGGGATCACCCTTCGGCCATCTTGATTCGGGGCAGCTCTCTGGTGGAACCTGAGTCCTGTCGGACCGATCCGCTCTCGACGCTCTCTCGACAATAACTCACAACCACGAGAATACAATTAAGCTACCAAATGTGCACAAATGTCTCTCTGTGGAGACGAACATATGTTTCACGCTGCTGCAGGTTTTAAACAAACTCAAGAGTCAACAGTTCCAAACAGCTGGAAGAAACAAATGTCAGCTCCTCCTAACATCTTGTGGAGGGAAAACAATCAGATTACATTCATTATTGGTGAGTGTCATTAATCTAAAGCTGTTTGTGTCTCTTTTCATCGCAGTAAGGTTTTATTACGGACATTTCATTTTGTTGCCTAGTAGATTTTAAACTGTAGAGCAAAGTACAGTGTGCACACAAACTGTGGATTAAAACACGAGTCAAAGTGTCGCTGCTTGTGCGAGGCTCGGTTTAGACTTGTGCTGCGTTCAAAGTGATACGGAAACATTACTAGTTCCAACCTAGTGAGGCTGCCAACGCTACGCTTACGGATGAGTGACCAGGATGAGCATTTTGACATGCAGTCGACCGATGAACGGAACAGAGCGTATGTCTGAAGGAGGGAACAGAGACGCATCTTTACTTGGTCATTTATTAAGACGAATGAGGTTTCGTTGCTTGCAGTGCATTTTCCGCAGCATTTTAAAGAGCTGCAGACCTTTTAGTCGGCAGCGTTCTTGTCTGTGACTGAAAACTGGCGTCTAACGGATTCCCCCTTATTGCAGATTATTTGTGGTGGACAACCTAAACGCAGTACAGAATAAAAGCCTGATCTATTTCAATACGCACATACAGAGCAAAGTTTTAGTTTTAGTTCTATTCTAAAGCTTTCTTCTCTGTTAATTTTCTGTTTCTTGGGACAATTTAACTTCTTCAAGAATCTTTTTTAAACTGTCAACTTCTTTTACAAACACCAATCGTCATGTTAGCGAATAACGAGGGGGGAGGAGCAACAAGTCCCCAATTGGAACTGAAACTCAGGTGTTAATAGATCCTTAAGGATATAAGTATCTGGAACTCCCAACTAGTCAGTCAGAAGTGATGAAGCCTCTTGGATAAGAGGTGGAACGTCTTCAAGAAACTCAAGCAAGTCCAGCTGCTACCATTATTCTACCAGAATCGCTTTGAACTAACCCAAGCATACGAGACCATTTTTATTATTAGTATACATTATATATGCATTGTTTTTCTGTACCTTTCTGACCACCATCTTCTTGTGGGTCACTGAGAGCCGGTGTTTAATCAAAATCAAGGTGAGCCTCAGGTCCACTCATGCTTCAGCTAAAAATGTGCTGCCAGACTGGAGGCACCGACTTATGGGTGACGTCACGGAGAGTTCATCCATCTTCATGTATGGCTTTGAGGACAATGTTTAAGTTCAACCGGTAGTTTAACTTTAAAGTGAGCTCAAAAATGCACTGAAATCAAAAAGTTGGCCTCCACAACTTACAAGGAGCTGTTTGTTTCACACGTCAACACATGGGAGAATTTAATATTGTGACGATATTATTTTTCCTTCTTTGTTTCTCTCCACTCCCACCGTGTCCGAACTTTAAGTGCCTCTTTGATCTCGGCTGTCATATTTCAATTTCCTCCGTTTCACCTTTTCATTGGGCAGTCTGCCCACTTCCTGCCCCATCATTTCAGCCTGTCTGTGCTTCTTTGTCTCATGTGAACTTTTGGTGAACTCAAAAACACATTTAGTTCCTTGTAAGTCTGTCATCGTGTGGCCCTTTTTCAGGACAATAATGTGATTTCTCTTCTACCCCAACAACAGTCCCTACAGTGCGCGAAGAAAGAAAAAGAAGCGACACCGACTGAAATGTCAGGTGAAGTTCAGCTCCATGTTTTTCTCAGGAAGACTTTCCATTAAAATAGTTTGATACTGACCCGGTTCATCCATGTCAGTGGAGCCAGCATACTCGTCATCGTCATCCCTCTTTTGTGGCGTCTTTTTAGGGGTGACTTGTCGTTCCTGTTTCTGTGGAGTCTGCAAAGGCAGCAGGGGCAGTGTTTAAAGTGACTGATTTTTCATTTACTTATATTTATGGTCCAACTTAAGAAAACAAATTTACCTTTGTGTTCATTTCCTCTTCACTCTCGTGGTCCGCATCCATTTCGCTTTCGGAGCTCGACTCTGCTCCATCCATCAAATACCTGGAGGAAAACAACAAAAAAAAAAAAACGGGAGAGCGCGCCGTGTCAGGATGATTAAACGCCGGAGGGAAAAGAGCGTCTGCACAATATATCTTGTTCCCAATCAGTTTTACTTGTACAAATGATTCAAAGTGCACCGGGCCCTTGTCAGGCAAGAGTGGAACAAAAGCACGGTTCAGAGTGAAGGTAATGTTTTTCACCAGACGATCAATGAGCTGATTTTTTTAAAACACTGACAACACCTGTGCATTATATAGTCTCATGTTTAGATGCTGAGAGATGACCCCATCTACTGCAATCATAAAGTAGTCCCTGTACTCACCCGATGCCGTTTGTGTTTATCAGTAAGTTAAGAGTGGCTCATCAGGTCATAGTTTGACTGAATGATGTCCCCACTGGTCCGCCAGCTTGCTTCAGAGTTAGACAGCACAAGAATGACTGAATCCACACAGCACAAAGACCAATCACTTTGCTCTGTGGTTGAACTTTAACCAAAATGTAATTGAAATCTATTTTTGGTAAGATAAGATAATCTTTTATTAGTCCCAGGGTGGGGGCATTTACCATCATACAGCAGCAAAGGGAAAAGCAAACAACAACTAGAAGATAAAAAGCTCAATGGTGAGCAGGAGCCGCAAGATCGTGCATCACCGTCTTTCTAATGAACAGGATTGAAGTCTGTTTACCACATGATGCAACAATCAAATCAACCCTGATAAAAGACACAAGAAGTTGGAGGAAAGTCCATAATAGACAGAGGGAGTAGATTATTAGAGGAGCGAATACGACCCGATCAATATTGCTCTCTGCAAAGGTTTAGAGGGTGTGAGAGAAATAAAAACTGAAATGCTCAAATAAATTCCAGGGAGAACACATAACTGTGGCAATAATGACACAGGAAACGGATGGGACATGCACAAAAAGCAGGCAGGGACCATATAGAAAAACAACCCCCGCATATACACAAGGTTGTAAAATGAGGATCTGACATTTCTTTCGACCTCCTCCGTATATTTCCGAAGTCATGGGCACATTATCAGCTTGAAAGTGCGAAAAGCAGAGAGTTGAAATGCCATCGTTATGATGTAATCACCTCCGTACGCTCTGTCGGGAGACATTTTCGTGACTTATGCTTACCTTTTTCATAAAACCAAGTGTCCAGGAAATTGGAAAATGAAAAGGGACGCAGAGAGCAAAGGGGAGTAACACAGAAACTGCTGCTTCTCATATTAAGTGTCCTTATTACAAAAGTGAAACAACAAGCTCGGTCTGCTTAAAATGGACTGTAGGTGGTGTTTGTCTGGAGGTTAAACCAAGTTATACTTTCGCTGAAACAATCTTGATTGATTTGATTTTTAGAATAACATCCATCACCTATACACCGCTTATCCTCACTAGGGTTGTGGGGGGCTGGAGTCTATCCCAGCTGACTCAGGGTGAAGGCAGGGGACACCGTGGACAGGTCACCAGTCCATCACAGGGCTACACTTAGAGACAGACAACCAAGCACACTCACATTCACACCTACGGACAATTTAGAATCACCAATTAACCTAAAATTGTTTTTGGACTGTGTGGGAGGAAGCCGGAGAACCCAGAGAGAACCCACGCTGCACGGGGAGAACATGGAGACTCCACACAGAAGGATCCCGGGTGTCCTCACCAGGACGTGAACCGGCGACCTTCTTGCTGCGAGGCAACGATGCTAACCACCGCCCTTTAGAATCACATGAATAAGAAAAAATATATATTTTTGTACACTGTTAATAATAATTAAATAGCTTGAATGACAAACTAATTTTTAAAAGCCAAGTATTTTGTGGCTGCAGCCTCCCAGATGTAAATATTTTGGTTTTATTAACAGTCTATCATAGCTACGAAATATCTTTAATATAAGTTTTATGCATTGATCAGACAAAAAAAAAAAAGCCCGACACGTTCTGACACTGGGAAGTTTCCAGGGCTAAGCTGAACCTTGTCAGCGACTGTACCGTTCAGTAAGGTTGTGCTAATACCATGCAGTAGTGATGAATAAAGCAGAATTCTATTGACCGGAGCGTCGCAGTTTTTGCATGTTTGCAGCCTCTCAGCTGTGACTCATGTATGCAAAAAAATTATCTACAAATATTTTCCGTTGATGGTCTCTTTAAAGTTTTGATTAGTCTCCTTTCATTTTTAGTTGAAACCCGAGTCGTTGCTTTTGCTGGTGTTAGATTATAGTTGTATTGCTTAAGAGGGGAAACGGCAGATCAGTTTGAAGGGTCAGCATATCATTTAATGACACAACCATAATATAGGAAAGCAGTATGTTTACTGTAGCTGTGACTAATCAGCACTTTTTCGTCACTGAATAACTTATTGATTCTTTTTACACTCACAAAGAAAACGTCAAAAATATCGAAAAAAGACCCATTGTACATTCCCAGAGCCTCAGGCAACATCTTCTAATTGCTCCTTAAACACAATGTACAATAGCATATTTCAATGCACGTAAAGCCGGCTAATCTTCATTTTTGAAGAGCTGGGATCAATTATTTACTTAATTTTTCAAATTTGTGGGCAGTTAATTTCATATTTATCAACAAATCGACTGAGCTTCCTATAAAAGGATGTTGTTGCTGTATTTTGTTGAACTCCTATTTCAATCTTTTCGATTCTTTCTCCTCCATTGCTCATAAACTATAAAAAAAAATGCATTTGTGAGAAGCTCCGTTTGCTCGTGATGTTGAAGAAATGCTGTCAAATCAAATCAACGTCATTTATGGAGCGCTTTAGAAACCAACAATAAAAACAGCATAGAACAAATAAAAACAACTAAAACAGAGCGAGGTCTCATGCTGGGTTAAAAGCCCGTGAATAAAAGCGGGTTTTTAAGATTGGTTTTAAAAGCAGACAGTGAGGAGGTCTGCCTGATGTGCAAAGCGAGATCGTTTAACATTTTAGGAGCAGCAATGGAGAATGCTCGGTTCCCCTCTGAGCGTTCGCTTGGGCCTCGGTAAATCAGCTGACCGGAGGTAACGTGCAGGGGCGTAGAAGCTCAGAGAGGTTGGGCGGGGCGAGGCCTTTTAAAGATTTAAAAGCAAATAAAAGAATCTTAAAATGGACCCTAAAGTGCACAGGCAGCCAGTGGAGGGAGGCCAGGATGGTTGGGTTAGGGTTAGGGTTAGCTCCCTCGTTCGTGCTCCAGTTAGCAGACGGGTGGCAGCGTTCTGGACTAACTGGAGGCATACAAGGGAGGACTGGCTAACTCTAAAATAAAGCGCATTGCAGTAATCCAGCCAAGAGGTAATAAAGGCATGGGTTGCCTTTTCAAAGTAATTTTGATTTGAAATGCTGTCACTTGACGCACCTGCAGCTCCAAACCTAGACCTTGTATGCTTTGAGTCTTGGTATGCCGGTACGTTTTAACTACAGTGAGATTGTGCTGATATTTTACCTCCAACACTCAAGTCCTCTTTGGATGCTGATGTTTTTTTGCAAAGCGTTTACTTATTTGGTTCTGATGGGACACTATAGAGCTGCTTGAGTGCCCTCTGCTTACCCCTACCTCGGTCTGTTTCTGCACTGATGGGGTAATAAAGACGGAAGAAATGAATCATTAATATATAGGCCCACGCTGCATCAGGAGCCAAACGGAGCTGTGCATTTGCTTCCAGACGCTCAGTAACAAAGTACTTGTGGGCACAACAGTTTGAGAGTGCGTATTTGTTTGGGTACTTGTCATCATCAAAGTAAGTGGTCCCTTTAATTACCCATAGCAGATGCAGCTTTTAAATACAGGATACATCATCAAAGCTGCTGCACACTCCACACGGCGCACAATAGCAGCGCTGGGCAGGGGAATGGATTATTCGTACGACGAGAGAAGCGGGGGGGAGCACACTGGAGGGGTGAGAGATCTTCGGCACAATCAGAAATTGACAGAGAAAGATGAGCATGAGGGAGGATGACGACACGGGCTGCAGCGAACGCCTCGTTTCAATCCACTTTTTGAGAATTCTAAAGTACGGATCAGATTTGAGAAAACCTCAACGGTATACGCCGTCGCTCTTCAGCAATATTTATTTAAAAAGCCTTCCTGCCTGTCTCTCAGTCTTTTTGCATGCTTCACATACATACTTTAGTTGTCTGGAGAAAGCTCGTCACATCGTAACGCTGACCGCTTTCATTTCTGGCTTTGAAGAACCAGCGTGAGAAAAAAAATGGATTTCTGTCCACCAGTTCTTATCTTCCTGTTGGAACCGGATGACAATAATCTCTGAAATGACAGCCACCAGAAAATAACTAATTATAACCGCAGGAAGCTACACCAATTACACGTGTATACAAACAGAGCGGCAACCTGCCAATTTTTTATCGATTCATTTGTGAATTACTTAAATGATTTTTTAAAAATTGTCCACACTGACATCTTAAACAGGCTCGTGTTTGAAAACAAAATATAATCGATTAACTCTCATTTTAGACAAACAAAACATAACCAGCTGCACGTTTCAGCCCGAGAACACCGGGATCTTTCTGTTTGCATGTTCTCCCCGTGCAGTGTGGGTTCTCTCCGGGTTCTCCGGCTTCCTCCCACACAGTCCAAAAACATGTCAGTGATTCTAAATTGTCTGTAGGTGTGAATGTGAGTGTGCTTGGTTGTCTGTCTCTAAGTGTAGCCCTGTGATAGATAGATGATGGATGGATGTTTCAGCCCTAAATTTCACGATATAAGGTGATACAAGCAAACATAACCCATCACAAACGCACCGCATTATAAAATCACATAATAAGTCGATCATAAACTCACAGCATGTGAGCAAACGTAGGCGTAAAACTGCGAGATTGAAGCATATTGTACATTTGCACTGGTTTGTTTGAGCAGGATAGAAACAGGCAATGGGTGTGAAATTTGATACAAATACCCGCTGGGTGTAAACAGTTGGAAGCAGAGCAAGCTGGTGACCGTCGTCAATCATTCATGCAGATGCGCAGTCATTCAGCAACAAGATAAGTTTTCGTGTCATTCACTGATGCAGCCTGTGCGAAAACTGTGTGCATCCATTTCCCTTGATGTCATTACTTTCCACATCCCCATCAGCGAGGGGAAAATAACTTGAAAGCTCCCTCTTGCATCCACCAATTCCGAATATTGCGACGGCGCTGCGGTGCTCGTCAACTCGTCCGGTTTTCTCTGCTTCATCGTGGAACATTTTGCAACAAAGACGAGCGTCTCTTACTGTTTTCATGCAACAGTGTCCAATAATATCAGTAAACAGTATTATCGCCTTATCAATCACACCTTCCTGTGATCGACTTCTGTTAAAACTATCATCAAGGAATCATGGAGGAGGGAGGTGCTGCATTCCCCCATTTACATCAGCGGCACTGAGGTGGAGAGGGTGGAAACATTCTGATTCCTCGGCACACATATCAGCAGTGATCTGACCTGATCCCACAACATTAAAAAACTCACAAAGAGAGCACACAAACAGCTGTACTTCCTTAGGAGGCTGAGGACATTTGGGATGCCTCCTGAATTCCTGAGCAACTTTTACAGTCGAGGGTGTCCTCACCAGCGCCAGAACTGCTCCCTGCAGGACAGGAAGGCCCTCCAACGTGTAATAAAAACTGCACAGAACATCTCTGGAGTGGCCTTCCCATCGCTGCAGGACATCTACACCAGTAGGGTCATCAGGAGAAGCCCACAACATCATCAAAGACCACGCACACCCACAGCACACACTCTTCACACCGCTGCCATCAGGGAGGCGGTACAGGAGCGTGAAGTCAAGGACCACAAGACTGGCCAACAGTTTCTTTCCTCAGGCCATCAGACTCCTGAGCAACCACAAACAATGACCGATCACTGCTGTTCAACTTCCAGTTCAACACTGTGAACTTTAAATGTATGTATATCTGCTGCTACATCTTCTCACTGATGCTGCTACATGTAAATAGACACTATGCACCTTAGTTTCTGTCTCTTTTAATTCTTTTGTATATTGTTTGTTTGTTTTATATACATATATTTCTATTCTCTATTACGTATAAGGGAGTGTGCAAACAAGACAATCTCATTGCCCAATGTTAAACTGCTGTTTTTCATGCTGCGCAAAAAAAATCTTACCGGTAAACTTTATATTGCTGGACTCCATCAACATTTGCTTGTTGTTTAAAGTTGAGAAATGTTAAATAGAAATGACTCTGAACTCAGCATATTATACATGTGCCTTATACTTGAAGCACCTAAAACAAATTCTGACTTCTTGGCCATATTATTTACATATTTATGCATTCATTTCATTTATTTACTCTTAGTATTATTATTACTTTTAGCCTTGTTTTTATAGTTTTGCCCTGGATATGGCACTTTCGTTGCTTTAGCTATTTTACCTGGTGTTGTTGTATTGATATATTTTGTAGATCTTTTACCATGTTTAACTCTGTTTTTCCATTTTTGCCTCTCTGGTCTTTTTTTGTCTCTGTTGGGACTGACCGACCTTCTGTTGTTTATGGGTCTTCCTGAGAATATATATATTTATATTTATATTGATCATTAAGATCACTATCAAAACACAGAACGTTTACAAGCACACAGAGCACAACAGTAAATGACTAGAGCGCTTTTACTTTGGCTCTTACTTATTTCATTTTCAAGCAAAAACACCAAACATTAGATAATTCCAGATTTAAAAATGTGAGAAATCGCTGTTTATGCAAATTCAAATTGGCTCATCAAAATTAAACTTCCTCTTGTGTTACAATCTACATGTCTCATCAAATTAAAAAAAAAAAAAACAGCTACACGAGCAGATAAAAGTCAGAAATCATCATGATTCTATATCTGAGTGGGAAAAGAAAAGAGTGAACACCTATAACACCGTATTTAGCACAATCCCACACCTCCATATCGGTGCGCCTACATTTGCATGATATTAATATACGCCTGACACTAATGAGATCAGTAACCTCAGATAACTCTGCCTGATTGGAAACTGATTCATATTCCAGCCAGACACCATCATTACAAAAGTATGAAAGAACTCCTTAAATGACACGGCAAAGCTTCTTACAGTAAAGTACAGTAGACTTCCAATTAAATTGGACCTTCCGTTTTCTACATTATTCAGCACACACAAACTTGTGTGGAGCGATGACGGAGGACCTTGATGTTGCCAAAGCTCCCCCCCCCTATAACGAGGCATATAATTAGAGAGCCGCTGGAGCTGGGTGGGTTGAATTCGTGATCACAGCGGGGATCGTTTGCTCAAGGTTACAATGTTCTCTGTAGCAAGCGGCCGACGCTGCTGAGAGGTTTTTATTTTTGGACGCTTCAATCAGCGTGAGTGCCGTGAACAGACCACGTCAAGATTAAGACACGCTTAAGAGAAAAGTGTTAATCAGATATATGTTGGACATATGTTGCCATGGGAACATGTCCTTTAACAATATATTGAATCTCATCCAGCTGTTTCTGAGGCCAGGCTTGAGCACAGGCATCTCTATATGGTATATAGATCTAATCCAGCGTAGTTTCATTTCCCCATTAACACCTCATCGGCATCTCTTTCCACTTCATCGCCCTCTCTTACCGTTTATAGGAGATCTTCTGTTTCCTCTTGTGGCAGTCCATCACCCATTCCTTGCGTACGATGATGCCACCTGCTGACTTCACCTGGCTGTACTTGGGGGTGTTTGCGAAGGCACAGCTGGAGATTGATGGAGCGAAACAGATGTGCACGCAAACAGACACAAATAGACACGTGTGGTTACATCACCGAAGGGAAGCTGACAAGGGCAGTAGTGACAGGAGAGATCAAAATGCAATCGAACCAAATTACAGGGTTCTTAAACCAACAAGAGATAAAATATATATATATGTGTGTATCTCAAGAAAGAACATCTCTGGAAGAAATACAAACTTTTGCAGTTTGGATACAAGATAAGGTAAAATGATCATTTATTGTCATTGCTCATCATCATCATGATGACATTGTCTACAGATCACAGCTTAAACGTCCTCATACAAGAGTCAACACTTGTATTCAAAGCAACTGATGATGCGCGTCAATGTTATGTTTTTCAAAGAAACCTCTCTAGAAACTGTTCTCTCCACAATGCTTATCTTCATTTAATCTTATCTACCATCATTCTGTAGTTTCACCACGTCGGGATCCTTTTATCGCTCCACAATCTCTTTGTGGAGCCATAATTCGGAGCTGTCCTTGTCAACCAAAGGACGTTAACGAACAGTGTCCTCAACAGCGTGAAGTTTTGTGAAAATAAAAATCTGAGTTTGCTGAAGATGATGTGCTGATAAGGACTTACCGTAAAAAAAAGATGACGTTCAAGTGCATCGACTAAACAACACCCTAACTAAAATGACATTGAATTTCGCATTCATCTAAGCAAAAACAAACTTTACCACTAAAGGTACTGCAAAACAATGTCAACTATTTTGAAATGTACAATAAAAGAAAACAGAAATGTGTTTCCACTGCGGTAGAAATGTCTTGAACGCGGTCACGGTAGAAAACTCGGGGATCAATACAGGATTGAAGTAATAGTTTGACATTTTGGAAAATATGTAATTTATTTTCCTGCTGATGGATATACGAGAAAATCAATACAACTCTTATGTTTGTCCAATAAATATGAGATGAGGCTCGAGCCTACAGCCTGAAGCAGGTTAGCTTAGCAGATAGAAGAAGGCGAGTCAGTCATTGAGGGGTTGTCGTAGGTGGGTTTTGGCAGCTTTGGACAAGACAAAGCAAACGAGCTGCTTGCTGTGGCTTCACATTGACTGCACAGGCACTAACACGGGACTGATCTTCACATCTAACTCCCAAATTAAATAAATACATTTCCAGAAATGTCAAACCTTAGGGGCTACATATAGGCAACGCATCCATAAACTGTACTTTTTCTGTTTAGGTAAGGATAACTTAACCATGTGCTTTTCCCTTTGTGTCGGCTACTCACATAAGATGTGTGGAGTCAGGTGTCCAGTCGGGCCGGTACTTGGCTCCCATCTCCAGAGCTTTTTCCCTTATCTCCCCTCTGAAGGGGTTCTGGAAGCCGCTGAGGACAAACACCACCCCCTCCAAGATCCGCTTGAACGGCACCTGCTGCTCGCTCTGGGACTTTGCCGGCTGTTTGGGTTTAGGTTCGGGTTTGGATTCCCGCTTCTTCTCAGAGGATTTCTGTGCTGGTGACGCTGCGGAGATAATTTCGACACTCAATGACGTTTTTCCCTGTGTGAAGAAATAATCAGCTTTCCAACATTCAGACAGCGTTCTACCTTTGGCAGTGCTTGGGCTGGGGGTGCTGACCGGGCTCGGCTTGGCCTTGGGAGTCGCAGCTTTTCCCTCCGGTGGGCTCATTTTCTTCGAGGGGGGAGGGCCGAGGGCGGACTGCCGCTCTTTGCTGAACTCAAATTTTCTTTTTGCAGGTGGCTACGGAAGAAAAGTAGAGTTAAACGAGCTGGTATTTCATGCTTAAGCTATGAGAAATAAATCTGACTTGTCTGTTAAAGATAGACGTGTTGGGAGGAGACGCTGACGGATGGTGAACAGAATTAAGTACAAACCTTTCACACTTTTATTCTACTCTACCCCACCAGAAGGTCACCTGACAAAACCGCTGCACGTTTAATAAACTTGACTTACGTGTAAAATGTGGGAGGCATTTTTTTTCTATCTCCTTTCAGTCTGCTTTCTTAGGCATGTATAAGTGCAGCTAACCCCTATTGATTTTTTTCGTCGTTTTCCTTTCAAAAGTCAAAGTGATACGCGGCTTCTATCGACGAACTGTCACTCCCCTGCGTGTCAAGAGGTTTTATTAAGTAGATGAAAGCTACAAATGTAGCTGCTGCATGTGTAAAACAAATGCATTCGATAAATTGGATTTTGCATCTACACAATCTATTACTACATTTAACATAAACATCTTGTGATTTGTAATGAAGCGAGAAAGTATCAAAAACCTGATGAAAATGTGTGAAATGTAGTTTCTAGCAGTGGAAAACACATGACGTAAGATTGAAAAACCATCTGTAGGTGGCAAAAGAGCTGCTCAGTATATCAGATACATTTGTCATTTACCTGTGCTTGAGTGATAAAGCGCATCTCAGAAATGGTGACGGTATTGTGACAAACAAAGGTTTGCTTTCTGATTCAAACTCAATTCAATAATAAGGGCAAAAGCTTGTTTTTTTACACACTATTTCACATCAAATTAATAATCCTATGCACGGTGAAAAACCTCCAATATCTAGAGAAACTAGAACATCTCAGCTTCATCTAGCCATAGGGAAAAAACCAAACTTCTCATTGAGGGAGCAGCTGGCTGTCCTTCTGTGAAGACAGTGATGAAGATGATTACCTACCTGTGGTGAGGCAGAATTAGAGGAGGAAGCTTGGCCTGCTGAGTGGGAGCTGCCACCTGCTTGCAGGGCAGCAGCAGCGTAGCTCAACTTCTCACTCTGAGGAGATGCTAACGAGAGAGAAGAGCAGAGGGCCGGTGAGCAAACAGAACAGAACTATTCCCACAAAGTGTCTTGATAATAAAGGACGTCATTGAATTCCCCCCATCGCTCTGGTCTTCTGGCACACCAGGTCAGCTTTAAATTAAACCCAATTATATCGCTGTTGTCAGTTAACGCTCCAAGGACCTGGAAGAACTTAATTGGGGTTCAGCAGAAGGTAAATTTAAAGACTCCCGTCCTGTGAAAATCAAGTCTTCTAATCTTGTTATCATGTCCAAATGGTGTTTTGTATATGCTAGAACCCCACTGTAAAGGAAATAAGCAACCAACTCTCTGGCAGAGCATTTCGGGGGCGCGCTGGAGTCAAGCCCAGCTGACTCAGGGTGAAGGCAGGGGACACCCTGGACAGGTCACCAGTCTATCACAGGGCTACACTTAGAGACAGACAACCAAGCACACTCACATTCACACCTACGGACAATTTAGAATCACCAATTAACCTCAACATGTTTTTGGACTGTGTGGGAGGAAGGTGGAGAACCCAGAGAGAACCCACGCTGCACGGGGATAAAAACAGTAAGTACTGCATATTTGCAAATTTCTCTGTCACCAGTGCAAAGTGGATCGTGTCAGGCTCAGAGGACAACATGGTTTTTATCTGGAACCTGCACACAAAAGAGGTTGTGCAGAAACTCCAGGGGAACACAGACGTCGTCATGTCGACCGCCTGCCACCCGACAGAGAACATCGTCGCATCGGCGGCTTTAGAAAGCGACTGCTCAGCGTTTTTTCTTGGATCTTTTTGGCCACTCGTGTTTTTTTTTCCCCTACATTTTGTTGTAAGAGAAGCGGACCTCAACTCGACATTTGTCAAACGTATGAATAGTTTTGGTTTTCGGCTGAACTGATTTGGAGCAAAGTCTCAGTCTGGGTTTTTCACTGTATTGACCTGTGGCCAGAGTTCATGTATGGGATCAACTAAGACAGCATTCCTACGTCCCACAGCAGTATCAGTACAGGACAACTGACCACTGTGATTACTGTGTTGTCAATGAATCAATTATTGATTGATGAAGCTTTAACTGAAAAATTTCCGACACCTGTGTGACAGCGACATTAACAAAGGATCAGGTTTAGTGTGTGCTGACACGATCGGTTAAAAAATGCTTTCTTTAGCTTAGAATCTGTGCTTTCCTACAATGTTTGAGTAGTCAAAGTTGAGTGGGCCGCCGGCGGAGGGTTAGATAGAGATAGGGGCGGGGACTTCATAGATCTGTGCATACTGAAGGGGGCAAAGGTGTAGAGTTACATCCAAGTCATTTGAAGGCATGAAGGGATCGCCTTTCATGGAAAAACTTCTAAACATGTAAGTTTAATACCCAGGGATAAGTTTTAAGAGGGTCCAGAGAGGAACTTTGAATAGTAGATTTACCTTTGAGTGGAGTACTTGACTTTGCTGCATTGTCCCGATTAAAGAAGAGGCTGCCAGGTTGAAGGCTGGACCCAGATGAAGGAGACTCATCCTTCACCCTGAACTGTCCCAGCTTTGTCAGTTTCTGTCAGGAGAGAAAAAAAAGGAAGAGTTCGATGCCAGAACAGAAGATGGAGGGACTGCCGAAGTGCAATTGGTGTTAATAGAGCAAAAGGTTTCAACATGACAAATGATTTCATGAGCTATTGAGTTTAGATTAAAGGTACCACACACACGCTGGTAGGTTTTTGTGCTGGATTCCCACCAAGATATGTTCATGTCAAAGGAATACAGTTCTGACACCAGTGAGGTCTCGTGATTAATTCTACTTCTTAGAATACTGAGCTTAATGATGACATTAACAAGTCTAGGTGTCAAAAACCTCCCTGCTTTGTTTGGTTTTCTTTTTTTTATGTGTCATAGCACTGACTTTCAACAATTAAGAGTTGGCAACAGATGTCTGGTCAGATTCACAGCCTTGCTAACTTAGTTCCTGATTTACATGATCATTTTCAGAAGTGACAGGTTATTTATAGGAAATGTTGTACAGCAGTATCTTACGGTATCCCTCCCTCAGAACAATAAACCTTTAATATAGTCGGCTTATTGGGTTAAATAAAAAGTTTGTAGAAAAAGTGTTCTTATATATTATTTATAGCAATGTACTGCAATCATATTATTTATCATTAAAAACGTGAAATGGGGAAAAAGACAACGCTTTACTTACAGGGGAGGAAATCAGAGGATCATTTTTGTCCGGTGGTGAGTGGAACTTCACAAAGGCAAGCCCATACGCTATGTTCTATGAAGTGTGGAGACAAAAAAAAAAGTTCTGTTCTGTCAGAGTCTCCACTCAAACCGTGCCTCAACAGACTGATCTGACATCTAATCAAGAACCTAGGGCTGGACCCGAATAGCTGACTATTGTGCTGGAATCGGGATACCAATTTTGATCACCGCGCGGCCCCCCCACATCAAATATTCGAGATATTCGTCATTAATTGGGTCGAATATCCGGAGAACAGAAATTGCTATTCGGACCAGCCCTATTGGAACCTTGATCTGAGGTCTTACATTTCACTTCACATGCAGGAGTTTTTAGACAACACATATCGGTGTGCACATTTTTCACAAAAAGTACCTCAATGCAGCACCAGTGTAACCATGGTTACAGGCAATCATAGGCAATCCTCTGCAATAAACTTCAGGTACTGTGATCATTTAAACTTCTTACTCCATACTACAGATGTTCTTGTTGCTGCTGATGATGATCTGATTTGGACTAAGAATTAGATGGACCTGCACTCTAAAGATTGAAATAGCTGTTGATTGGGCCTTTACCTTGCTGTATGGTTGGCTACACACAATTTTCACTCTGTCCCACTTCTCCTGAGCCGTGCTCTTCTGTAGCTGGTTGGGCCCAAAGAAACGGACCCGGTTCATGTTGGTGCCATTACGGCTCTCCGTGGGGGACATGAAGGAAGAGGTGACCAGAAGCACCTAAAGCAGAGGGATCGAAATTGATGCAGGCATTAGTAGGTAATTGCTAATTAGGGGGAGTAGGGAAGTGAGATATATCTTAGTGAGGCTTGTGAGAATACCACATAGTCCTGGTCTCTGACAGCTGAAGAATTGCCCACCAGCACCTCGACGAAAGCCGACCCCTCATTTCCAATATCAATGCTGTGCACCTGCTCTTCTTTCTCAAACTGATAAAAAAGCAAAACAGCATTTGTTAAACGAGCTCAGACAAGGTGTTGAAATTAAGTATCTGAACGAGTATCTGCATGAAGAAAAAGTATTTAATCAGGCCTGACTTTTAAACATGTTTATGCACATGGAGACACAGAACAAATGCTTCTTACGGACACAAAAGATTCTAACATTTACTCTACTGAAGAAAAGTACAAAACAATGGAATAAAAATATAGCACAAGACCAAACGACTGGTCATTTTAGTTGATTTGATAGCGGTTTTGGGATCCTTTATATACACAAGCACGGAATTGTAAAGCTGAACAACTGGGGCAGGGAGAGCTTAGATGCTTTCGGCTATATTAAGAACCCCGTTTGACATATAATCAGCCAGGGACTAAACTTAAGGTGCATTTAACATGTTCTGTAAAGTTGTATAATTTGTTCTTAAAGTCTCATTCAGTCAGTGAGTGAAGAGAAACAACGATTCAAGTTCTACAGCAAGTAAGTGAATTCTGTTGGGTCACTAAACAGTAAACTGTTTCCAGGGAAAAAGAGCCAAATGTTTATGGAAGCTGAAGGAATCACCCTGAAGACAACACAGACAAGGGAGTTCCCAAGAGGACGAAAATATATCAACAAACGGGAAGTGGGAAGACACCTGAATACGTACGTTTACATTTATATTTACTGATACACCAAGATGTGTGGAAACAGTAGATCACGCTCAGCTGAGTGATATCATAATGTGGAAAACCTCACAGCACAAAGGGGAACACAGAAAAATGTGGGATTTCTAATCTACAAATAAAAAAATCTGTTTTATCCAGCAATAGATCTACAACTCTAATTAAATTAATCTGCTGATATCTGTCTTGTTTAATCAATTAGTTATTTGGTGCATAAAATATCTAAAAAAAAAATTGTGTAAAATGTTGATCGTGTTTCTAATAGCCCAGAATGACATCCTCAACCTTGTCCACAACCCAAAAGACACTCAATTTAATGTCACCGAGACGCAAAGAAACTAGTGATGCACGATATTAAAATTTCTGGCCGATACAGATATTAAGATTTCTGATATTGTCGATAACCGATATTACAGATGTTGATATGTAATTCTCGTTCACAATGAAAAATGACTTTAAGTAAGCACTGTGAGAATGTAAAGACTATTCCAAATTAGACCACATAGTTGTCTTTATTACGAAACCAAAGTTAAACATATTCTACAATTCTACAATTTCATTTAGCAGACGCTTTCATCCAAAGCAACATAAATCTGAGAGCAGATGCAACACAAGCAAGCATCTAGTCAGGAGAAAACAATCTAGATAAGTGCTACAGAACAAATTCAAGTGCGGTAGAGCGTTGATGCCAACAGCAGGCTGTGTGGGAGGAAATAGGAATTTTTGTTTGTTTGTTTTCAGTCTGTCAAGTGCAAAGGTGTTCAGTGAAGAGCTGGGTCTTTAGTCTTTTCTTAAAGACTGAGAGGGAGTGTCAGCAGATTGAACAGAGTTTGGTTACTTGTTCCACCACCAAGAGTCCAACTATTGATCTCGGTTGTGGTGGTTGTACCAGGCAGTTTTTGTTGGTTGAGCGTAGTGTTTTATATTATTTAGATATTTTAACATATTAAGGTCCAGGATCATTTAAGTAAAAACATCTGTGAAATAGCAGCAATATCAAATGTAGAGACGAAGGTGCTGACATTAGACAATCATTGGTTATTCACATCAGCTAAATTTGTTCATCAGACCGATACCAAAAAAACCCACTAACATCGGCCGATACCGATGTGGTCGCCGATATATCGCGCATCCCTAAAAGAAGCCAAAAAATATTTAAATTTAAGAAGCTGGAATCAGATCATTGACTTTTATTCCTAATTAATTGGTCAAATAGATGAATTGATTATCAAAGTAGTGATCATTCGTTTATTTGTTGACGACTAATTGATTAGTTGCAGCTCTGTGGTTCACACTTTGTGTTATATGAGTAAGTACATACAACCTAACTAAATATGACATCCTTGCCAACACTCTCGGAAGTCAGATGACAAAAACAAACCTGCAGAATGACGGATGTCTGCTTCTCTCCGGGTCTTGCTGCTTTCCACTTCCTGTAGGTGTCAGAGCTCAGCAGGTTGTCTGCCTTGTGTGTCTGTTACGCATTACAGCAACAAGCGAGGTTCGTATTAGGTTAAATCATTTTAAAAAAATAAGCGTTAAGAGACGAAACGTAACTTTCACCCATACACGTAAATCAATCAGAACTTACAGTGTCCTCGGTGCTGCAGGATACGACGTGTTTCAGTTGGATTTCTGGCATGTTGCTGACGCGTTAAGTCATAAACCCACCGGAGCAATATCGTAACCGGCTAATTACACACAGCAAGTTTCCTTTCAAGTGTCAGTAGTATAAACTCGCTAAAGTCCAGAAAATTGACTTGGTTGCTAGTGAGCTCCAGACAAACCGTTGACTAACGTGATAGCATGCTAGCAAACAATAGGCAGAGTGAACTTTTCCTGATTAGCCTGATGATTTTAGCACTGCTAAAGGGCTGCTGTGCGTCAATACGTCGCACTGCTACGTACGTGACCGTTACCCGCTACTGTGTCGTTACAGTAAACGCCAGAAAATGTATATTAATGTTTGAAATTTTAAGTTAAACGTGTGCGAAGGTGCACTCATTTTCCCACCAAAAGCCTGTAAACGTTGTGATGGGACGCAACTTCCGACTGCGAGCATTTTTGTCCAATGAGAGCGTCGCATTCTTCTTCTACGGTTTATTTTTTAGTGTGGTCAGCGGGGCTCTATCGCCACCAATCGGTCAAAAAGAACAAATTATAATGCAAATACAAAGTTATAATACAAAATACCTTTAAATATCTATAGGCTTAGATATCTAGAGAGTGTGTTCCTATTTTTTATGCATTTGTGACAAATATATACTTTAAAGAAGACATATTTCATGCTATTGAAATAGGTCATGTTCTTCTTCTACTCTTTAATTACTGGGGTCGCAAGATTTCATTGCCACCAACTGGTCTGACTGTATTGGTCAAGAAATTAGAACAAATACAAAGTTGTAATACAAAATACCTTCAGATATCTAGGGGTTTTGACATAAAGTGTTTGCTTTCTGTGTCCTGAGTTTTTCTTATTTGTGACTTTTAAATAAAACATTTTTTTGTAAAATATCCACTCTAGCTCAACAAGTCTCCTCCACTATGTGCAATATGTAAATATCCATTATCCGTATGTAAATACTCATAATCTGTATGTATATATCCATCATCTCATGCAATATTTCTTAAATCCTTAATTCTTTTTATATATTTGTCCTTTTTTATCTTTATATTTAACTGAGCAATTTTGCACTTTATCTTGTGAGCAATTTTGCACCTTATTTTGTTTTTCTTTTTTTGTTTTTTACTTGCACTGAAAATAGGAGAAGCTCTCCAATCTCGCTGTACACTGTATAATGACAATAAAGGGCATTCATTCATTTTTTTTGTAAGTTACCTATAGAACCCTGTGCAATATTATTTTCTACATTTAGAAGAATAGATATTGTATGTTTTCTCTACACATAGAATAATCTGTGCTCTATGATATAGTCAAACTGTTTTTTTTTTTTAAAACATAAAACAACTCTGTGCAATATCAATATTTCCTATGTGCAAGATGTGCAGCCACTGTCTACTTAGGCGGATAATTTATTGACGTTACGTTGCACATCTAACATTGCACGTTAAACATTTCCAGCACAACTTTTCACTTGCAAGGACTTGATTAAATTGAGTTTAAAAAAAAAAATGCTGTGCATATGTAAAATCTCATTATACCAGAAAATGGGAAAAAAAAATTTAATAACATATCGAACAGTCTCAGAAATATATGTAACGTCTGTACAGAGCTAAACATTTGTACCCATGAATGGCATCAGGGTTAGTTCTTCTTCCTGCCCTTTTGAACAGACTGATGGCAGCTCGTAGATGACCTCCTGTAGTGTTCACTCCTGCACTTTAGTGGAGGCCTGTGACCGTTCTGCTGAATCACCTCCAGGGTGTGAAGTGAGTGTGAGAGATTTCTCATATCCGACTTTAGCTTTGAGAGCATTCTCACCTCTGTCATTTGCTGGATGGTGTCCATTTGAGTTCAGAGGAGCTGGCCTTCCTGATCCATCTGTTCTTGTCTGCTGTGTGAACGCCTTCTCCCAAGTACACCAAGCTAAAGAACATGGCACTGGCCACTACAGTCTGACAGAAGGTGCCCAAAAGAGGTCTGTAGATGTCAGAAACCACAGGCTTCTTAAACAACTTAAGATGGATTTGTACCCTCTTGTATAGCACCTCCATGTGGGTGGTCCGCTCCAGTACTTCTAGGTATCTGTAGCTCTTCATTTCCTCCCTTAATACATCCGACTGCTGAA